CAAACAGCCCTTAAGTTTACAATCGAAGTTGTGATTTGTTAAAAATATGTCTAGGAAACTAAGAGAATTCTTATATCTTTAAATCTTAGTACCACAGTATTTTAATTACTGTTCCCAGGTAGTCTCAGCTCTACGCTACCTATCTGATAATTTATACACAGCCCCTACAAAACATAGCTGCATGTGCGCAATCGTGTATTGTAACCTCAACAGTTTCAAAACAAGCAACATCAAGAAAAAAATTTTCATGGGGATATTGGGGTTCCCTTTTCCTCCACACTACTCACATTTTCTGTCTGTGAGCTTTGCCATTATATTGTACCAATATAACGAAACGACACGCAGATGAGTATAGGCTTGCGAGACATGGGGCGGGCGGGGGGCAGTTGCAAATTGTTAGACTTAGACGATCGTTGGTACCATGGATTATCAACTTCCTTTCTAACCTTCGACATAACGTTAAACCTGGCCATGGTGAGTTAATCTCAGATTGGTTGCCAATGAACGCTGGCGTCCAATTTTGCTCGGGCCAATGTTGTTTTTGGTGTTCATAAATGACCTCAATACCACATCCAAGTCATCCAATGGGACAGATATCTGGAAATTTGTGGATGATATTTCAACTTTGGAAGGTTTGACAAAGAACAGTAATTCTAACATGCAGTCTAGTCTCGATCTTGGTCTCTAAAGAATGATATATATGAAGCTTATAATGCCAAAAATGCAAAAAAACTATACGCGTATGTTTCCTGAGAGAAACATTGAATTATCACCATTGCTGATCGATGAGAAGGTACTTGAACTTGTATAAATCCATAAGGTACTCGATCTCACTATATCCAGACCAGAACAATTCAAAATGGAATGAGCATATAGATTCAATTATTTCCAAGACTTCTAAACGTTTGTAATTGTATATTAATATCCGCGCGCGCCTTACATCGAAGTGGTTGTCACCGTTGAAGATTTAATGGAGATATACTTCGCTCTCATACGGTCAGTTTTTGATGTAATATTTGAAATCCAACTATGAGGACTGGACTAGTAGATTTCAAGTCTGCGCAATTTGATCCAGTTCGAGGCGAAGCCGAGGATTGGATCAAAATGCGAAAACTCGAAATCTAGTCCAGTCCGAATTGGAGGATTCGGAATGACATCTCATACGAATAAATCACCAAGGACTGAATTCATTTCGATCCAGTCCTAGGACTGCAACAATATACTTCACCAAGTATCCATTATTATCATGTGAGCAAAATAAAGCAATATGGTTGGAACGTGTCCAGAAACGCGCATGAAGAGCCATTTGCCAGGATACGCTTACAGTGAAACCTTAACAAACCTGAGGTGCTCTTGGCTGGATGAAAGATGAGAAGAAGTTTGTCTTAATATCATGTAAAATATCGGAAAAGGAGGTCCTCGTAACCTCTTAATGTCTTCATCTATGACATAAAATATACCAAATCTGTGGCTTATCTAATAGCGCGGTTTTGCAGACCCTAAAAATAGAACACCCCAGCCGGCCAGGCGATTAGTCTCCCCCCCCCCCCCTAAGTGCATTTCGAGAACTGAACTGCGATACTGTGGAAGCCCAAAACGCTTGCCAAACTAATATGTATTACCTTTCAAAATTGATCATTTTGATTAATGGCAATTAATTTCAACCTTGCATGCAATGATAGTATAACCAGCTGAGCATGTGTACAAATGTTCCAAACCATGCATGCATGAATGGCAGCATATGCGTTCAGTATCATGACAATTATTCGGGGGGGGGGGGGGGGGGGGTGAATCTCTGAAGCAGTCGTCAGTTGTATTTTGGTCAAAATTTCCCCTAAATAGAACAATATAGAATGAAATAAATACATGCATGTTCATAAAGAGACTCGAACGATCTGTGCCAGTGAAGGTAGTACCATGCAAGCGAGGTACCAAGAACACGAATTCCTAGGATCCAGTATATATTATTCACGTAAATTTGATAATTAAAACTCGATCTGTGATGTAACAAACGAAATATACTTGATCATTTTCCGATTTGTCAGGAGGCAAATGGTATCTCCACTCTCCAAATAAGTTACATGTGCAGACAACATATATGAAACATTAGACTGCAGAAAATTGCGCAAGCAGTTATCAAACTCATGTCACAGAAGCGGTAATAAAAAGACATCTGTCACAACTGAACGGCATCCTTTTGTAAAATTTTTGGCCAGGCCTAATTAACATTTGAGGTTGGCTAAACATTTTTTAGACTTTTTAGAAAACTTTTTACCAAGAAAAACATCTCTCTTTGGAATATTAAATAACAGCTCCACGAAACAAATTTGTCAACTAACCCTGAATCTCTAAACATCACTGATGAAATTCTTGGTACAGACTAATGAAGTGGATCGGAGGGGCATTGGCGCAAAGCCAGACTGCAGAGTACGTTCGTTGGCGCCGAGCCTTGGCGGCGGAAAGCTGAAAAATCCCGGGGCAGGGGCGCAAAAATGTCCCAGGGCCGGACTCAGGGGTGGCTTTTAGGCGGCCAGCCTCCCAAAGGGCAGTCATTGCTGAAACAAGAAGAAAATGGCTTCATTTGATTCACATTTTTTTGTTTTCTTCGCAAGTCAACTCTGGTGTGACTGCGGCATAGTAAAATCACATAAACATCCAGTGACATCAAGTAATGAAAATCAGCATAAAATACATCGCTGACACTTACTGAGAAGACACGCTTCTTAATTTATGTGCAGACACGCGGGAATAAATAATCAGCCCCGACAATCTCTGACATTTTACAATTTTTAGTTACGAACCTGTATTCGGCGAGACTCACTGCCGTCACACATAAACAGTGGCGCCGCCAGCTCGATAATTGGGGGGGGCGAATATTCATATCTTCGTGTTCTGCTTTATTAACTTCTTTTGAAATCGATTGTTTTAATGGGATGTGAACACAAATATACTAGAATATTCGCCCCCCCCCCAATTATCGAGCTGGCGGCGCCACTGCACATAAATAGCCGTAGTAACTAGATAAGTTATACTATGAACACCAATATACCATGAAATTACACCATCATTTTCTGTTAACTTCTGCCTTTTAAAAGGCATCCTTTGGCATTGAAGACTATATTCAAGAACTGCATGTGTACATTAATATTAATAATATATATACGCAGGAAAATATACACGCTTTTTTAAGATTCCTAGTATAAGAATGTTACCCGTATCAATGGGCGGATAGGGCATGGAAAATTGCTCTACTCTGCAGTCTGTACCCACGTACTTTTGTATATAACCAAAATCAAACGATTTTATGTCGTTCATCACGAGCCGAACGAAAATTTTTTAAAAATATGGAGTCTCTATAAGTCGGAAATGGCCTTTACAGAGTCTTTACTACTGCAAAAAGGGCACTTTCTTTCCAGCAAAAGAGGGCGTTCATTCAAGAAATACTTTTCTCGTTCTTTAAATGGGACACTTAGCCCAGAAAAAGGGCACTTTTTTAACTTTTAAAAAAGTGAGGGGGGGCACACATGCCTCCATTCCTCCCCCCGTTCGGCGGCCCCTGATTTAACCATGAAGATTTAAATTCTAGAGTCCATTTCTGTCAAATATGAAGATTAAAAATCGATAACGCGAATTTGGATCGGAGAATTCGAGCAATCACTGCTGATATCATATTGTGCAAGGACAAACGCGTAAGCACATATCGTGTCGAGCACATATCACATATCGTGTTTAAAGGCATCAATTTATTTGCTCACTTCAAGGCCTTGAAGATGATTTATTTAATTCGTGAAACCACGCAAACGCCCACATGGTAACACTCTTTCTAAAGGTCAATTGGTCAAAGCCATAGCGAACGAAATTAAATATTAAATATCAGCTAGTTTCGTAGATATCTTAAATCATAGCCTATCGAAGGGAAGATGACTGTGAAACTCATAATTAGAGTAATTAATTTCGGGGAATATTCGCCGAGACGAAGTCGAGGTGAATATTCCCCGATAATCACCGACCCTGAGGCGAATAATTGTTTTAGTATCTTTACCTGACAAGCTTTTGTGTTTTTTTGAGACTGAAATACTGAATTTATTTTAATTTCGCTTATTTCTTTGTCAGTAAATTTCCACAAAACGGGTAGCCGCCATTTTGAAAATTTCTGTTTTGTTATATATTTCGCTGACCTCAGAATGACATTTCGTCAAAACTTTTTTCTTCAAGATTGGTCTAGAAACAAATTTGGAGTAGTGTTAGGTTCGTGTTAGGATAAGGATTAGGATAAGAATTGGTGTTTGGAATTGTTTAGAATTGGTGTTCACCGTCACGTGTGTATTGTATTTTTGCCCAACTATAAACCAATAGCAATGTTTTAGGAAAGTTACCTATCCGTGACTATTCGTGGATTTGGCAAAAATATAATACACACGCGTGACGGTGAAGGACCAGATTAGTCAGATTTATGAATAAACGTTGCCTAACTACATAGAGTTATATTGTTATTCTAATGAGTCACAACCACTTAATTCCCTTCGATAGGCTATGCTTAAATATATGAGTAATTTTGTCTCATAATAATTCGACAAAAGGTCACAAAAACCATGCCGAAACGAAATACTGAACGTCATTCACGGTTCACGAAATTATCCACTCTCAAAATTTGCAGAATCTCGTCGAAAAACCGCGAGGCAAATAAAACCGACCTGACTACATTATCAAATAAGTATGGATGATTATTTTACAATTACAATAATAAGACTTATCAATATTGATCATTCTCTAGTGAATCCAGTTGTTACGTGTTTGCTCGTTCGCCGGTATTTTGAAAAGTTGAGTTTTTTGTGTGACATCGACAGGAAATGCAATTTCGGAGACTCTAGATTTCACATTTTTACGTGGGAAGATTCTTTGACGCATAGGAAAATACGTGGGAAGACCGTCCCTCCGTATAAAGTATAAATTCTTGGTCCATTAAACAGGTATGCATTGTCAGTAGACTGCATAATTACGACAATACCTGGATTTCCTACAGTTGTTTGCTGTCCATATATGGGCGCCCACACATGAATTATGCTATTTCGTTCACCACAGGCGGGCATCACTATACTGGTAAAAATATCACAGCTTGTCAACAATATCGATCTGTTCGCATTGTTGTCGACAAGTCTGTTATCAACAAGGTGTTTATATATCACGGTAGTTGATGAGGCCAACAGACTCGCAACAAGTTGCAATTCCAACAAGTGTCTTCTGCAGTTGTTAACAAATTGATGACAATAATTAACTGAATAAGCTCGTAGCAAGTTGTTACACCGTTCGTTGCTACACCCAATTCAATTGTAGATAATTGTAAAGCTTATGCCCGTTTTATACGTCGAATTTTGGTCGCGTCGAATGCAATTAAGACAATAATTGCCATTTGGCCGTTTTTATACTAGAGACGCATTATGCGTCTGGACGAACTTGGGCAAGCATTTGTTGTTCGTCTGGTTATGCGTCCTTAGTATAAAGACGGGCACAAGACGCATTATGCGTCTAGACGAACTATGTTCGATTCTTCGTCTTAGGAGAAGCACAACCGATGATAGTTCGTCTGGACGCATAATGCGTCTTGTGCCCGGG